CCTTTCTTTTGAATGTCTCCAGCAAAAATACAACTGAAAGCAAAAGTGCCCGGCCTCTTAAGGAGCCATGGTTCCCTCCCACCCCAGGATGTGTCCTTGTCTGGTTGAAATTGGGAGCAGAGAATCTCCATATTCGCCAGCATGGGACTACTCTACATTCTCCTGCAGAGCTATATCTCTATATACGCAAGAAGAGGGCAGTTTTCCTTTTGCAATGGGAGGGGGAGGGGAGGACTGCAGGATTAGACAGAAAAAAACAGGCAGAGAGGGAACTGTAACTCATCAAGCAGCATTTTTCACTCATTACAGACAAGTGGATAAGTGCATTTTTCAAGCCCTGAATATCTCATATACTAAATGAACCATCAAAAATACAAAAGCAGAGCTTGAAAATGCCAGTGGAGCTTTAGTCATAGAATCAGAACAAAGTGAAGTTGGAAGGGGCCTACAAGGCCATCAAGTACAACCCCCTGCTCAGCGCAGGAGTACAATCAAAGCATATCTGCCAGCTGATTATCCAAGTTTTTCTTGAATGCCTCCAGTGTTGGAGCACTCACCGAGGTCACTGGTTCCACTGTTGTACTGCTCTAACAGTTATGAAGTTTTTCCTGATAACTCAACCGAAATCTGGCTTCCTTTAACTTGAGCCCACTGTTGCGTGTCCTGCACTCTGGGATGATCGAGAACAGATTTTGTCCCTCCTCTGTATGACAGCTTTTCAAATCTTTGAAAAGTGCTATCATATCACCCCTCAGCCTTCTTTTCTCAAGGCTGTACATCTGTCCGTGAGGGAGGGAGGAAGAGAGAAAAAGAGAGAGGGAAAGAGAAAAAAAGAAAAGGGAGGGATGGAGGGAGGGAGAGAGAGATTATACTCTGCTTTCATATCAAACTCTGCAGTATGTACTGGCTAATGACCCAGACCTATAAAGCCCCTTCATGGGGAACCAACTGTTTGACTAGACATGAGTGATTTGTATCCATATATCGAGAGATACGAATACAAACCACAGCACCACAGATGCTGCGGTGGCCCATTCCCTTCCTCTGGAACTGGCGGGGCCACTCAACGATCCCTGCTTGGTGCAGGTGACCTTTGACAGTGCTGGCAGACCAATCCATGCAAGAGCTTGGCCGGCCCTTCCCCACTTCCCTGCGCAGCCAACCACTTTAACGAGGAGGCGGGACAGGAAAATCTCCCCTCTTGGCTGATAAGTGGTTGGCTGCACATAGGAGGAGGGGAATGGTGGGCTGGACTTCTTCATGGATTGACACACTGGTGCCAATCTGTGCCACACACAGACTGGTGAGTGGCCCGGATGGTTCTAGGGGGAGGGAATGTGACACTACAGCACCTGTGGTGCCACGGTTCATATTCTTTTCCCTGGAGATACAAATACAAATAGTCCATGTCTAGCCCTGACTCTCAAAACTGGTTTGGCTCAAGTGTTTTAGATATCTACACAACGGCTCAGCATATATTGTCTTGCAGAGTGATTTTATATACTACTTACCACTGATCCAAAATGTAGTTTCTAATTTTCAGGTAGCGCTCAGGTGTCTTGGCCTGACGTCCCACAAAGAACTCTGGTATTGCTTGTTTCTCTTCTTCTGATATAACATTTCTATCTATCTCTACTTCTTGATCAGGTGGTTTAAGTTCCTCTCCTTCCATTTGATTCTCCTCTTCCAGTTGGCCGGAAGGATGGAAAAGAACGCTGTGCTCAGAGAATTCTGTCTGGTCTCCACAAAGTTCTAGACTAGGAAACCAATCGGTACCATCCGAAGCTCCAACTTCATCCCACTTTGGGTTCTTTGATTTCACAGATTCGTGACCTTGCTTCTCAGAACATGACACCGGTGTCTCTGGAGTCCCATCTGTGATTTCCCCTGGCTTTGGGGTGTCCCTCCTAGTTAGAAGAACTGTAAATGTGTGTCCAGGAGAATCTGAAGTAGTTGCTGTGAGAACGCTTTGAGCAGGTGGACTCTTTGGAATATCTAGGCGTTCATGCTCTCCTGCCTCCTCTTCAGGTGCATGAGAAAGCAGCTCATCCACTTCATCTGTGATGTCTACTTCCTCGTCATCTGATAATTTTTCAATTTTCACTGCATTTAGATTAGGATCTGCCCGACCTCTTAAGTGTGTAGGTGCCCACGATGGTGGCCTGCCTTCATCATCTGTGTTGCTACTGGGAACTGGAACACTGGTATACTGCTCTCGGTCCACTTTTTCTGAAATTTCAGTCTTTGCCTTAAGAAATAAATATATGAAGAAGAGGTAAGCACAACAAAATAACAAATTCAGATGAATGGGGGGGGCAATTCCCCCTTTCCCCTGCCGGCCCCCTGAATGTCTTTAAAAACGACTTGGGGTTACTGAGATTGCAGAAGCAGGAAAAGGAAAAACAGAAGAGTCCTTTTGGTCAAATGGAAGTCCATTCACACAACATCAGTTTTTACCCATTCATTTTATGGATTGATTTTAAAGCTTTCAGAAATAAAATGGCTTGAAATAAGTTAGGCCCTCTTTCAAGAGATCTTTGACTTGATAGAATAAGTTAGGCCCTCTTTCAAGAGATCTTCGACTTGAGAGCAATGGAGATTTTTCTTTTAAAAAATTATTTCTTGGCATGCGGATTCTGAAACGAATGTTCACAACAGAAACAGCAAACCTTCTAAGGATATGAATATCATTGCCTAGCATGTGGATAAGTTATTTTATTGCTAACTGGAGGATAACTTATTTTATTTCTTTTTTTAAAAAATAACTGAATATTCACATCTTTTCTTTATAGATCTTAAGATACCTGTGTATCACTTACTCTGGAAATTCCAAGTATGTGTTCAGATGAAAGATTACTTAACACAAATATAGGCATATTGTATAATTAGGCACATTTGGATGAGAGCTTGGGCATGTTATCTTTTTTGGGGGCAGGAATATAATTAGCTGAACCTCATCATGCCCAGACGAGCATGACTGCATTCAATGTAGAACTTTCTGAGCTATATGGAGTAATGATATAACTTTACATAAGACAGCATCCTCTGTTCAGTACAGATACCCAGTAGAAATCTCCCACATTAGATGTTACTTGTTCTAATGACTTGCCGGTTTGTTTGTCTGTTGACAAGAATTTCAACAGTTACCTTGTTCTTGAAGTACTGCCTGGCATAACTCTTTACTTGAAGAACATTGCGACTTCCGATCATCATGCCAATTTTTGTCCATCTCCTGCCAAATTTAGCCTAAGGGAAAATAAGTATAATTTCAGGTTAGTGAGGCTAGAAAGAACAATTTACTATCCTAAGTGAGGGTCAAACTGTAAGATACGTTAAATATATATTACACAGCTCAAGATCGTTTTCTTAAACTCAAAAACATGTACAGTACATACAGCCTTGAATATACCCAGTAGGAGCAGTTTAAAACCTCCTTCCAATCTTTTTTAGTCTAAATATCCCACCCAGCACATACTGTACAAGCATTTGTAATTTTAAAAATCCTTTTAAAAAGGCACCTTCTTTCTCTTTAATAAATTCATTAAAAGAACTTTTAAATCCTTTAAAAATATTTTAGAAATGTATTCTCAAAGGCTTTCATGCCCAGGATCTGATGGTTGTTGTGGGTTTTTCAGGCTCTTTGGCCGTGTTCTGAAGGTTGTTCTTCCTGATGTTTCGCCAGTCTCTGTGGCCGGCATCATCAGGGGACAGGAGCAAGAACTCACGGACGAGCCTGAAAAACCCACAACAACCATTTTAGAAATGTATTTCCCTGCTTGAGTTTCTCTTCTGAAGCAATTTGTTGGGGGGGGGAGGTTGTTTTGTGCTCATTCACCTTAAAATTAAAGCTTCCAACCAGGAGGTGAGAGCAAAGGCACGAACTTGCCAGCGGGAAGTAACACAGTATTAAACTCCACTCCACTCTTTGAATAAACAAAGACTAAAAATAAACCACAGGAGGGCCTGGCATGCTCTGATCCATGAGGTCACAAAGAGTTGGACACGACTTAATGACTCAACAACAACAACAAAAATAAACCATGCTGGGAAGAGAGACTGAAAAGCATTAAAAATCACAGGAAGCAGAAGTGAGCTGAACAAGACAAGCCGTCTGCCAGGTGGATAGTTGAAAAATTCTGATAAAATCAGTGCCGAATGCAATATTTTTATGAAAATAAATGTCCCGTTTGGATAACAGAACAAAACTGTTTTAGTAATAGAGCATTTAGGATGGCCGCCTGCCTACTAAAATTGTATCCGTAATAGTGTTAGTGTTAGATTTTCAAACAGATAAGATGGAAAACAAATCACTTATAAAAACAGTCAATTTAAGCATAACCATTATTTACCAGTCCTTGTTCAAACAGTTCTTTTTCTTCCATTGTCCACTTCAGTGATCCACTGCCTGGTTTCGTAGGAGAATGTATCCTAACAGCATAATGGAACATAATGCCTTTTTTAAAAAAAAGTTTAATCTTTATTGCATTTTAAAAAGAAATTATAAAAATAAGTAAATAATTATCACAATATTAGCACATAGCCAAAAGAACTTTCTATTATCTCTTTCGCAAAACAGTAAGTCTTTAACATTTTTACTTCCTTATTTTCCACCAAACATTTATTTTCTTCGTAATCTTAATAATAACTTTTTATTTCTTCTTTTATATTCATATTAACAAACTGCTTTACTTTGTTTTTACTTCTGTTGAGAGCAGTTCTGCTTCTAATTTAATCCTAAGTCACTTGGTGCAAGTTTGGAATCTTTCTTCCATTTCTCTTTAAGATACCGTATTTTTCGCTCCATAAGACGCACCTCTCCATAAGACGCACCAAATTTTTAGGAGAAGAAAACAGGAAAAAAAAACAATGTTTTCTTCTCCTAAAAATTTGGTGAGCCTTATGGAGAGGTCCGTCTTATGGAACACACCCTAGGACCCTTTGGAGGCTCACCCAGATCCCCGGGGGCCAGAGGGGGCGAAATCACCACCTTCAGGGACTCTTCTGAAGCTCCCCAAGCCTCAAAAGAGTCCCAGAAGGTGCCGATTTTGCCCCCTCTGGCCCCGTGGGGGGGGGCAGGGTGAGCCTCCAAAGGGTCCTAGGGTGTGTTCCAGGATCCTTGGGAGGCTCCCCCCACCCCCCACAGGGTCAGTGGGGGCAAAATCGCCAGCTTCCAGGACCTTTTCTGAGGCTTGGAAAGGCTCAGAAAGATCCTGGAAGCTGGTGATTTGGCCCCCACTGGCCCCATGGGGGGGTGGGGGGAGCCTCCCAAGAGTCCTGGAAGGCAGACTTGGACCCTTGGGAGGCTCCCACCCACCCACCACCATGGGGCCAGTGGGGGCAAAATCGCCAGCTTCGCTCAATAAGGTGCACAGACTTTCCCCCCCACACTTTTTTTTGGGGGGGAAGTGCATCTTAAAGAGCATGTTCCTCCTCTCCTGGAGGTAACTTTGAGTCAGGCGAAAAATCTCTTAGCTGACTTAATCTGAAACCGCTGCAGCTTCGATCCTCACAATCAGAATCTTGCTGCTTTTGCCAGCCACACCCACCGGAACTCCACTTCACAAAGTCAGAACAAATGCCTTTTTGTTAAATGCAGCTGGCCAAACAAAAAGCTTTAAACATCAGCTCCAGTCCTATACATGTGAATTCAACTTGACTCACTAGCATTGACATATAAATATTGTAGTTATATTGAAGAAGAATGATTTAAAATTTTAAATAACAGAAAAATGTGTCATCTACATATGCCAAATATTATGTTTTTATGTGTGTAACAAAGAAAGGTTCAAAAGATAGAAAGCATGCAAAACAACAAAATGAATGCAAGAGATAATGCAAGATTTTTCAGAACCGTCAACAAATTCCAAATATGTACAATATGGTCAGGAAAACTCAGATGCAGTATCAGATGTACATACGTGACTTTTGCTTCTTTCTTGTGTGGACTGTAAAGCACAGACAAAAAAGGACATGTTACTTTTTTATTTTGTTAAACCTTTGGTAATATTATTTCCCCCACTTTGACATTAGAAGACGCCTTTAAATAAATAAATAAATATCCTCCACATAGTAGATGTTACCTTTTGGTGGACTTTTTATCACTTTCTTTTAGTTCATTCCAAATTTTTTGTGGAAGTGATTTGCTAGAGAGATAGTATCTGAAATTTATTAAGGACATTATAAAGCATAGGTTTCTGCATGCTTATGATATGTTTTTATAATTAATTGTTATTCCACTAATTCTAAGGCAAAGATAACTCTGTGGATTATGTTACATAAAATACAACTGTATGTCTGTTTCAGCATTAAGCGTTTGGTCTTAATGATTGCATGTGCAATTCAGTCCAAGGAACAAATTATCAACTGGGGAATGAATTTAAACAGCCAGGGTAACCTCAGCTAATGAATACGTGAATGAAGAGATACCTTTCCAAAGCCTGATTTATTAGAATAGCATGATTTTATGTATGCATATTCAGATAAAACCCTATGCACTGTATTGATAAATGCTACCTAAAATCTATCTCATTTACATCTATTGTGAAAGTCTGCAATTATATGTACAAACAAGCAGAGCAGGAAGCCAACCATACTGCACTTATCTGTCTTGTTCATCCCCCATGGTCAATCTGCACCAGGGCAGGGCAACCCTCAGAAGTCTGGTGGCCAACGCTCTGCCTCCAGTATCCACCAAAGACCAGTGGAAATGGAAGTAGACAGAAATCAATGTTTCAAGGAATAGTTGTTTTATGAGCAGAGATGGGCACAAGCCACAGCTCCACGATTCAGTGCGGTTTGGCCACACAGCTTCTTCCATGGGCACCCCAGCTTCCCAGCTGTGCCTTTGCCTGGGAGCAACCACTCAGAGGCAAAGGCACAGCTTCCCAACCTTGCCTTTTCCGGGCGCCACCTCTGAGTGGGTGCCTGCCAGGTTTGGAAAAGCCAGGGTGCCAATGGAAGAAGCTGTGCGGCCAAACTGCACTGCAGACTGGCAGTTTGTGTCCATTTCTATTACTATTTTGCCTGTCTTTTTTTTCTATTGTTACCATCTTTGTATTTTAGAATGTGTTTTTATGATTATTTTTTTTGCTTTACTTCATGTACACCAGCCAGAGCAGCAACGTGCTAGATAGGTGGTATAAAATTTCTAGTTCAAAATAAAGAAATAAATACTTGAGAGAGAGAAAAAACTGATGATAAAGACTCGCAGCCAATTTAAAAAGCAAAGACCTACCCTTGCAAAGCTTGTTTTCTGCTAGGGAACACCACTGGGAGAGACTGATGACTGTGATAGGGTCAGGAGCTGCAAAGACTGCATGCAGCCCACAGCCACATTTTGCTCATCCAGATTAAGACTGACTTATGGCAATTCACTATCCTTTCACTGGCTTTTAGCTCCAGTTTAGTTCAGATAATCAATTCTGATGGATGGGATCATCAATGGCTACTTGTTAGGATGTCTATATATCACCTCCAGCAGACATACACAGTGACTATGGGTATCAGCTGGAGGGGGGAGGCATCAGACAAAGGGAACAAAACACTGTACTAGGTAATCCTTTGGTCTGAACAAATATAATCCCCATGTTTTTAAGATTTCCTGAACTAAACAAAATTCTATAGTACCTACGTTTACAAGATTCCCACAAGAACGAAAAGCAAAGGTTGTGAGAAGTATTTCAATTCTTTGGCCTGTTTTTGGTATCCAAGTTCTTAGCAAAAACAGAAGTTCTAACAGGGCCCAAAACTGGTATTTAGGAAAATGATGTGAAAGCGCATAATTATAGTGTCAGTCATACTACTACTCTTAAAATACAAAACACTCGTGCATTATTCTGTAGTAAATAAAAATAAAAATGAAACAAAAGCAGCTTTTGCTAATGCATGTATCAAGAGTTAAATCTACACTTCTGCTGTTCACGGAAACCTAACCCAGAGAGCACAAAAATCTGCTCACAGCGCAATCCTACATGTCTGTTCAGGAGTAGCCCCAATGAGCTCAATGAGGCTTATAACCATGAATTCATCTACATGACTTGGTAACCTTTTTTTCCTAATGAAAACATAGTAATTCATCTAATAAAAATACAGTAAGTTAATATAACTCAGCTAAGCTTCAGATATGTGAATTTACTATGATTTCATTAGATCCAAGACAGAAATAGAAAACCTTCTTCTACTAAACAAGCAAGAGACATCGGGTTCTTAAAATATAATGCAAGATTTTTCAGAACCGTCAACAAATTCCAAATATGTACAATATGGTCAGGAAAACTCAGATGCAGTATCAGATGTACATACGTGACTTTTGCTTCTTTCTTGTGTGGACTGTAAAGCACAGACAAAAAAGGACATGTTACTTTTTTATTTTGTTAAACCTTTGGTAATATTATTTCCCCCACTTTGACATTAGAAGACGCCTTTAAATAAATAAATAAATATCCTCCACATAGTAGATGTTACCTTTTGGTGGACTTTTTATCACTTTCTTTTAGTTCATTCCAAATTTTTTGTGGAAGTGATTTGCTAGAGAGATAGTATCTGAAATTTATTAAGGACATTATAAAGCATAGGTTTCTGCATGCTTATGATATGTTTTTATAATTAATTGTTATTCCACTAATTCTAAGGCAAAGATAACTCTGTGGATTATGTTACATAAAATACAACTGTATGTCTGTTTCAGCATTAAGCGTTTGGTCTTAATGATTGCATGTGCAATTCAGTCCAAGGAACAAATTATCAACTGGGGAATGAATTTAAACAGCCAGGGTAACCTCAGCTAATGAATACGTGAATGAAGAGATACCTTTCCAAAGCCTGATTTATTAGAATAGCATGATTTTATGTATGCATATTCAGATAAAACCCTATGCACTGTATTGATAAATGCTACCTAAAATCTATCTCATTTACATCTATTGTGAAAGTCTGCAATTATATGTACAAACAAGCAGAGCAGGAAGCCAACCATACTGCACTTATCTGTCTTGTTCATCCCCCATGGTCAATCTGCACCAGGGCAGGGCAACCCTCAGAAGTCTGGGGGCCAAAGCTGTGCCTCCAGTATCCACCAAAGACCAGTGGAAATGGAAGTAGACAGAAATCAATGTTTCAAGGAATAGTTGTTTTATGAGCAGAGATGGGCACAAGCCACAGCTCCATGGTTCAGTGTGGTCTGGCCACACAGCTTCTTCCATGGGCACCCCAGCTTCCCAACCTTGCCTCCTCCAGGCGCCGCCTCTGAGTGGGTGCCTGCCAGGTTTGGAAAAGCCAGGGTGCCAATGGAAGAAGCTGTGCGGCCAAACTGCACTGCAGACTGGCAGTTTGTGTCCATTTCTATTACTATTTTGCCTGTCTTTTTTTTCTATTGTTACCATCTTTGTATTTTAGAATGTGTTTTTATGATTATTTTTTTTGCTTTACTTCATGTACACCAGCCAGAGCAGCAACGTGCTAGATAGGTGGTATAAAATTTCTAGTTCAAAATAAAGAAATAAATACTTGAGAGAGAAAAAAACTGCTGATAAGGACTTGCAGCCAATTTAAAAAGCAAAGATCTACCCTTGCAAAGCTTGTTTTCTGCTAGGGAACACCACTGGGAGAGACTGATGACTGTGATAGGGTCAGGAGCTGCAAAGACTGCATGCAGCCCACAGCCACATTTTGCTCATCCAGATTAAGACTGACTTATGGCAATTCACTATCCTTTCACTGGCTTTTAGCTCCAGTTTATTTCAAGTAATCAATTCTGATGGCTGGGATCATCAATGGCTACTTGTTAGGATGTCTATATATCACCTCCATGCAGACATGCACAGTGACTATGGGTATCAGCTGGAGGGGGGAGGCATCAGACAAAAGGAACAAAACACTGTACTAGGTAATCCTTTGGTCTGAACAAATATAATAATTCCCATGTTTTTAAGATTTCCTCAACTAAACAAAATTCTATAGTACCTACGTTTACAAGATTCCCACAAGAACTAAAAGCAAAGGTTGTGAGAAATATTTCAATTATTTGGCCTGTTTTTGGTATCCAAGTTCTTAGCAAAAACAGAAATTCTAACAGGGCCCAAGACTGGTATTTAGGAAAATGATGTGAAAGCGCATAATTATAGTGTCAGTCATACTACTACTCTTAAAATACAAAACACTCGTGCATTATTCTGTAGTAAATAAAAATAAAAATGAAACAAAAGCAGCTTTTGCTAATGCATGTATCAAGAGTTAAATCTACACTTCTGCTGTTCACGGAAACCTAACCCAGAGAGCACAAAAATCTGCTCACAGCGCAATCCTACATGTCTGTTCAGGAGTAGCCCCAATGAGCTCAATGAGGCTTATAACCATGAATTCATCTACATGACTTGGTAACCTTTTTTTCTTAATGAAAACATAGCAATTCATCTAATAAAAATACAGTAAGTTAATATAACTCAACTAAGCTTCAGATATGTGAATTTACTATGATTTCATTAGATCCAAGACCGAAATAGAAAACCTTCTTCTACTAAACAAGCAAGAGACATCGGGTTCTTAAAATACTGTCTGGGTGATAAATATTATCATTAGGGTAGCCAGTGAGCAATTGTAATCAGTGATCATGAACTGTTAACTCCAATCTGGCATCATCATGTCTTAATGCTATGAAGACTGTGTTTAGTCTTACTAATTAATAAGAAAAGGATACTCTTCTTCTAACAACATCTTCTCAATGGCAGCCTTGTTTTCCTCACTGATGGTGCTGTCAAGACTCCAGGGCTAGAAGAAAGATATGTAAAACAATTATGCAGGATTGCATTTTTATACATAATTTTTTCAAACCAAAACTGGGAAGAGCACTACTGTACTGTATTTCCAACATTTCCCACTAAGATGTAGAGTTGAAGCAGAGACGATTTCAAGAGAAATTTGAGATTCTGTGGCAATCTTTGCACTTGGAAGATGAAAAGGAATCAGTGGACAAATGTATATAGAGACACTTTTTTCCTAAAACATGGGATAAAAAGCAAGGGGGATATTGTAAAAGACAAAGCATAGCTGTGACATTTGTTTTTATTTTACAACCATGTTCAGAGAACACACACCCAAATACAAAGCAACATTTTTCCCTGTGGAAATACTTCAATCAGACAAGTATGTGGAAAAATTAGACTGTACACCATAAATGCATCTCCATAAACCTGATTTACTTGATTAGTTGTGCGTATATATATATTGCTCAGAGGAGTGTACACCATAAATGCATCTCCATAAACCTGCTTTACTTGATTAGTTGTGCGTATATATTGCTCAGAGGAGCATATGTGCATGAACAGCAAAAACTAGCATTTTCCTTCTGTCCTTCTACTAGATGCCAGGATAAACTTGAACTGGCTAGGATAGAATCACAGAACAGAAAACATGTCTTTAAATGTTTTCAAATGTCATATAGAGATTATCTCAGAATTAGCAGCCTATTTCATTGGTTACTTACAAGACCCATATCAGTTCTCCAAGTTGAATCAAGGTAATGATCTTGAAGTAAACTAGATGGAGGATTCTCAAAATTTCTGCAATTAGAAGCAGCTATGTATCAGACACAAATATACTTAAAAAAAAAGATCCTATTAGAAAGACATTATTTTAACATCACATGGGAAATGTTACTTACTGATGGCTACAACTCTCAGAATATCCTACACCAGCATGACCAATGTTCAATATTCTTGGGATTTCTACTCTCTGCCCCCCTCCCAATAATAAGAAATAAAGTGGGAAAGTGTTTTCACATTAGAGATACAGTTCTTAATCTCTGACCCCTCCTGGATGTTCTAAAGATCAGCTCCTAGAATCTCCTGGAAGCTGTGATTGTACAACACAGCATGTACAATATATGTGTGAACATGTGTTTACATGGGAAGGACTGCAATGTAGTAATTTACAAGTTGAAGCATTCTGACCAATGAGAATCTGTCTGACATCAGCCGGATATATAAAGCACATGGTAGTTAATAGGATCAAATATGTGAAAGGGTATAGCTTTGTTAGATAGGGAGAGATATGCGACATATGATAGCTGACAGAGTCAAATATGTCGGAGATGATAGCTGACAGGGTCAAATATGTAATAGCGTTACATATGGGACTGAGAGGTTTAGCTGTTAAACAAGGCACTTGTCTGCTAGATGTCAAGATATACCAACGTAGTCAAACACAAGTTCATCTATAAAATACCAGAATGTTAAATCACTGTGAGTTTATTCTATTCTGCCTGTTTAAAACAGTAAATATTCTTTCATGTCTTTAAGGAAATATTCTTTCATGTCTTTAAGGGTGCACGCTCACACTCACACACACACACAGGGAAAATACCAATGTTTACATTTTTTAATCAAAATACTTGAAATTGTTCTGCACAATCTCTTGTCAATGACGCGTGTGTGTGTGTTTTTCTCTCTCACACACACACACCAAACCAAACCAACAGAAGGTCAGAGGCCCAGACCAACAGCATCCTCGACTCCTGGCATGGCTCTCCCCCCCCTCCACACTACACCACCCATCATCCTTGCTTCTGCCCGGGACGGGGGGGGGAAGGAGGGAGGGAGAGACTGAACTGCCCCCCCACGTTCTCTTGGGGGGAGGTATTGCAGTTCTGCCTCATAGGAGCTTTGGACTACAACTCCCATGAACCTGGTGGGAACTGTAGTCCTCCCAGAGAAACAAGTCAGTCGTCTGCTAGATGTCAAGATATACCAACGTAGTCAAACACAAGTTCATCTATAAAATACCAGAATGTTAAATCACTGTGAGTTTATTCTATTCTGCCTGTTTAAAACAGTAAATATTCTTTCATGTCTTTAAGGAAATATTCTTTCATGTCTTTAAGGGTGCACGCTCACACTCACACACACACACAGGGAAAATACCAATGTTTACATTTTTTAATCAAAATACTTGAAATTGTTCTGCACAATCTCTTGTCAATGACGCGTGTGTGTGTGTTTTTCTCTCTCACACACACACACCAAACCAAACCAACAGAAGGTCAGAGGCCCAGACCAACAGCATCCTCGACTCCTGGCATGGCTCTCCCCCCCCTCCACACTACACCACCCATCATCCTTGCTTCTGCCCGGGACGGGGGGGGGAAGGAGGGAGGGAGAGACTGAACTGCCCCCCACGTTCTCTGGGGGGGGGAGGTGTTGCAGTTCTGCCTCTTAGGAGCTTTGGACTACAACTCCCATGAGCCTGGTGGGAACTGTAGTCCTCCCAGAGGAGGCTTCCCCCCCCAATCCTGGAGGGCGGAGGGAAAAGCAAAGGTTTCTATACACACACACACACACACACACACCCGTGAGGGGCGCCGGGTGACCGCGGGGAGCGAGCGGGGCCCTTACTCACGCCCCTCCAGGCCGCACCGGCCTCGCTTACCCCGCCGCCACCGCCGCCGCCGGGTCCCCCTCGACGTCCACTTCCAGCTCCTCCACGGCCTCCATGCTGGCGCCTCCGCCGGAGTTCTCGGGAAGGGCGGAAACAGGAAACGGGGTCAAAGGTCGAAGCCCGCGGCTTCGCGCTTGGGGTTGCTAGGGCCACCGGCGGAAGGCGGAAGAGCCGTCCTCGGGCATGCGCAGAGACACAAACGAAGCCCTCGCCGCTCCTCTCTTTGCCCATCTCTCCCCCATGCCCGGGGCTCTTGGCTTGGAAAAGTGGCGGGGA